AACACTCTGCTACCTGTAGTATTACTTATGCAGTTAATAGCTAGAGCAGCACTAAAGCTAAGCTAAATAAGGTTGCTAAAGACTATACTATAGGCTACAGCCTTTATAGCTAGCATAAGATTTAAAAGTGTAAAAAAGCATAGCAGCAAAACACTAAATAAAGTAGCATTAATAAGAATATTATTTAAAAGAAAGACACTTTATAAAAGCTAGCTACTACCTCTACTATTAACTTAAAAGTAACTAGAGAAGCACTCTTTACATAAAATGTTTAAAGCAGTAGAAAGAACACACTTAGACAGTTATTAGATAATAAAATCTTAGACAGAGGTCTAGATAAAGCTAATTAAGGCAGCTAGACAGCAGATTCTAGATTATATGTAGGTGTACACCTATAAGCTTAACAAGCACTATAAATTATAAAGATGCAAGGCGTAACTAGTAGTCTATAGTAATTAATAGAGAAACATTACTACATAAGATACCTACGCTGCCACCCTAGCAGAACGCTTATTTTAAATGCTAATAGTAATATCTATACGCTTTAACTTAGAGCTTAAATAATACAACATAACTAACACGTTTATACATGCAGCAATTAACCACAATATCTACATGTGGATGCTAAGAGGCTATTAGAAACTAGGTATAATACTAAAGCTTTAAAAAGCACTATATAGCCTACAAATTTCTTCTTTACTCTAGTAATACTATTTTATAACAACTTTTAAAGGCCTTAAGTTCTTAGCTGTTTTACATAAACTCTACTGCATAACTAAAGCTAGAATATTTGTCTTTTTTTATGTAGACAACCTTATTGTTGCGCACAAAAAAGGCTTTAAAGCAGATGCACAGCGTGTAGTAGACTAGTTATAAGAGAAGTATACTCTAACAGAAGGCAAGGACCTATAATAGTTTCTAGGAGTTAAGATTATTAAAGATTAACAGCAATAAATAATTTAGCTGTTATAGGCATTATATATTAACAAGATAGCTAGGCTAGCTAACAAAAAGGACCTGCAGCATGCTACACCTATAAGTAGGATTAAACTTATGCTGCAATCTAGTTTTGCAACCTTATTAGAAGTAAATTAATATTAGCAGAAGATTAGATCTCTACTCTTTGCAGCAGTCACTACAAGACTAGACATTGCCTTTGCCACATCACGCCTTGCACAGTTTCTCACGAATCCCGCATCTGACCATCAGGATGCAGCTGATCAAGTCATCCTGTACCTACATGCGACACGGACGTACGCACTCTAATTAGGAGGAGAAGACTACCTTGTAGTAGCAAGCAATGCGTTATTTGTAGACAATACACTAGATAGAAAGAGCTCTTAGAGCTATGTTATTTAACTATTTAGCAGATAGATTGCATAGTAAGCAAATAAACAAGATATAGTTACAACATTAATAACAGAAGCAGAATTACTTGCACTGTTCTAAGTTGCTAAAGAAGCTATGTTTACAAGAATGCTTCTTAACAAACTGCAGGTTAAGCTGCCTAATTTAACTATTACAATCTAGTGCAATAACAAGCAGACAATCTGACTAGTAAACAAAGAGATATCTTAACTTTAAACTAAGCTCTAACATGTCAACATCCATAACCACTAGCTCCGACAGGAAGTCTCTCGACAAACGATCAAGGTTGTCTATGTCCCCTCCAGCGAGATGCTTGCGGACGGACTCACTAAAGCGCTTCTAGCCAGCAAATGGCCAAGCTTTCTTCAGCAAATTC